GGCGGCGGCGTGGCGGCCGTGGTCGTGCTAGACCAGGGCAGTCGCCACTGGCAGAAGCTGCGCGAGGAGAGCGCCGCGCGCGTCGTGCTCACCTCGCTGCTCGCCTGCCTGCCCGCCGGCCCGCGGGTCTACTTCCTCAAAGGTGAGCGCGTCGGGGCCTTCGGTCCCCTGCCACCTTCCCCTCTCCCGGAGCCTGGACTCCCGGGCCCTGGGCCCCCTCCCTAGGTCCCCCGCGGGACGTCCTTCTGCACCCTGGCACCGGGAAAGTCGGCACTTGTCCACTGGCGCTTCAGGTGCGCTTGGAGGGCAGTCCAAATGTCAGCGCTTGGCGCGTCCCCACTCCACGCCCGTGTTCCTCGAAAGCGCCTGGCAGCCTGTCCGTCCGTCTGGCTGGGTGGGGGTTGGTTATGCTGCGAGAGTTTGGGGGTCGTCGGCTCGTGCTGGGCGTTTGCAGACGCGGGCCTCGCCGCTTTCGCTGGGGACAGGGTTCGGAACCTTCCCGAAAGGCAGGTCTGGCGCGATCAGCAGGTCGCGACCCTCCCCCCGGAGCGTGGCGCCGTGGTGTCCCCCTTCCTCCCGGCCTAGCCAGTTACGGGACCGTAGGCTGTGTTTTCACCGACCCCTCTTGCCCCTTTGACCCTAGCGAGTCCCTCCCCTTCCATTCCATTTTATTGCTTTTATTGTTTTCCTCCGGCCTCCTCTTCTCCCCTCCCAGGCCTTTCTCAAGCTCAACGTGGAGCTGACAGCCTTCCCACCCTTTCCACCTCCTCCCTTCTTCGCCCCGGGATTATCCCCGGGAACTATCCTGAGCCGAGCGGACTGCCCGCCAGGGCTGCCGGGAGCCAGGACCTAGGAGAGGAGCCGCGGGCGGCAGGGTGGTGTGGAGGGGACTCCGTGGCCTTTGATTTGAGACCTCCAGGAGCTGTGCGCCAGTCGTCTCGACAGGCCTGCCTATTTCACCTGCTGGGCAGATAACTTTGGCTTCCGGTGGTGGGTGTGTGATTGACTCTCATTCTAGAGCATTGATTTCTGGGTCACTTCCTATGACTGCTCCTGCCTTGTATTTGAGTCCGTTGTAACCTCATATGTCATCCGGGGAGACCCGGCCCGGGCGCAGCGATGAGGGCTTAGCCCCAGCGGGCCCCCGAGGCCCTGCCAACCCTGGTACAGACCCTTTGGGATGTAACAGTGATGTGGTTCAGAACTTGGGGCCAGTGAGCTGAGAGAGTTAGGACCCTGTTTTAAAGCCACACGATTTGGGGAATTTCACACACTGCTGGCCAGAAAGATTCCAGAGGCACGTGGGCAGCTGCCCTCCATTAGCACTTCTGGGGACTGCCCCCTGTTGATTCCTGTTGGGAAGATAACCGAGGTAGATGTCAATCTTCCTTGTCCCCGCAGCCCCAGCCCCCAGGGGAAGGAGGGATAGCCCCCTCCAAGCTGGCGGGAGATTTCACATGTGGCTCCTGATTTCTTTCTCTTCCTGCTGTGGTTTTTGTCTCCTGCTCCAAGCAATGAGTACAGGAAAAGCTTCCGCCTCCCCAGTAGCATGAAAGATATGTTCCAGGAAACACCTCCTGCTCCTACCTCTGCTCCTCACCCCTCTCTAAGGGGGCCATGCTGGCAGTTTAGAAGTTATTACCACAGGAAATAGGCAGCTCTGGAGACTCCCATCTCAGGAGAATTATGTTTAAAATGCTTTGTTAAAATGAAGGGAGCACATACACTGATAAAAATTTGAACAGGACAAAGGCTGTACAACGAAAAGTGGGTCTTCAGCACACCCTAGAGCTCAGTTTCACTCTCCAGTGATGGCCACCAACTGTTGTTCATCGTTAGGTAATTTTCCACAAGTATCTTTGAACAAATAGCCTAATTTTTGTGTATTCGCTGTTCCTGCTTTTCACCCAGCTAGATCTTGGAGATTTGTCCCTGTCAGAACATACATGTCCCTTTCACTTGTTTAACCCTCCCCTGGTGATGGCTATCAGGCTGCCGTTGGAAGCAGTGCTGTTGAGGGTATCCTCGTCCACATGGTCTTGCATGTGCCTGTCAGTCTTGCAGTAAAATCATGAAAATCGCCGGGTCAAAAGTTAAGTGCATTTTAAATTTCAGTCGAAATTGTTTGTTACTTACCCTTGTTACACTACTAAGCTTTAAATTGTTGCCAGAGAAAATTTTCATTTCCTTACCTAACTCATGTCCAGATATGAGTTCAGGTCCACCCACCCCCGACTCTGGTGGCTGGCCCTTACAGGAATCCAAATCTGTGACCTTGGTGTTATAAGGCAGCACTCTAACCAACCGAGCTAACCAGCCAGCCCTGAGTTCAGGTTTTAATCTAGCAGCATGTCAGATCTTGGGGGGCAATTCCATTTATACTTTCCATAATCCCTCTTCCCCCAAAAAAAACCTGTAAAATGAGATGATGATGACCAAATCGCAGGGTCAGTGCGTGTTTAAATATAGTGTCTGGGCATCGTGTCCGTTCCCCTGGCAATGTGGTGGTGATTGAAAGCAGAGTCACTCTGAAGACTGAGGCAGCCGGAAGAATTGCCTCAGCTCTTACAATTCAAGTGAGGCACCGGGGAGGAATGTTCTGTCTCTCCACACCTCTATTGGGAGGAGGTGAAAGACAGACCATCTAATCTGGGAGACTCCTCCTGACCTCAGCTTGAAGAGGCAGGGTTCTGTTTATCTGTCCCTCAGCTACCGTGAGATTCTTTGTCCGCCTTATTTTGTCAACGGGCAGGCAGGATTCAACCCATGCCGCACCTCCTGTCCGTCCTCCTCATAGCTAACTCTTGTGATCTATTTAAAGCCAAGAAATGAGGTAGCCTAAAGGCTTCTCCCCCACGATCCTCATCCTGCAGTTTGGGAGAGCCTCGGCCACTCTTACTCCAAATTCTCATCCAAAATCACTCAGTTCGGCTCTTGGAATCCAAAATGTTGAGGCCCACATAGGGGTGCAGTCAGGTGGCTTACTGACCAGGGACACCTCTTCTGAGGAAGCTGTGTGTGTCTTTAAGGCTGTGACATTCCCTCTGCCACCTAGAGAGGAAGAAGACCAGGGGCTACAGGGGCAGGGATGGATGAAGTCACCAACACTTCCATCCCCCTCCAGCATGGCCTCCTGGCATCATGATGGGGAACAGGGTCATTGTAGAGGACCAGAAGCTCATCCGGGGAGGTGCAACAGGCTATTTGCTGAAGTGACCACAGGGGAGATTTGGATATACTAAATGGGGGCAGGGTGGTTGCAGCGAGCTGAGAGGAAGCAGTAATGGCAAGATGACTCATTCTAGGAATTGGCTGCAGCTTCTGGGAGGGAGCAGGAGGCTGCTGTGGAATCCATTAACCATTTGTCTACTGCAGGGATTTTAAAAAGCCAGCATGCCCTCCACGGGAGACTATCACAACACCAAAAGACAGAAGAAAAAATGGGAGCTTTGGAGAAAATACGTGGTCTCAGAATGCATATTTAATTGTTGATTTGACACCTAGTGAATTCTCTGGGCCAGAAAAGACAGAAGTTGGTTTTCTGGAGGCTCTGGGAAAGCCTTAGGTTGTTCTGAGTTGGAAGCAAAGTGTTTCTTTCCTCAAGCAAGCCTGGCCTGCTTACCTACAGGCCTTGGCATTCTGAGGGTTCTGAGGCCAGTTTGTCATTTGGTTCTTCCCCACTGAGTGTAATGGGCCCAATAAGGTTTATTTATACAAGCAAGTTTCTGTGACTTGGTCAGAGAATAGTTTTTACCTTAAGAGATTGATTTGGAGAAGTTTAAATGTAACACTAAGGATTCTTATACATGCCACAGTTGACTTTTTAATTTGGGGGTGTTTGCGGGTGGGGGAAGGTCAGAAGTGAATGATAAGAAAAAGATAAAAAAGGTCAGTGGTTATCAAGGGGACAGAGACCATTTTTACTTATGGGGGCTGAGAATTAAGTTCAGAAGTCCTCATTCCTCCAGTTTGGTTTGGTAGGTAATTAACTAGATTGATGACTCTAAATTGAGCCTACAGAAAGGATTATCAGCAGTGTGCTTGGCACCTTGGGAGTGAGAAGGGGCAAGGCTGTTTCACTGCCCAGGTCGAAACCTCGTATTGGCCCCCATTTCCTTATGAATGGAGGGGGTACTGTCTGTAATCCTACTTAGAGCAGATGGGCTGTGGAAGAAACCAGTGTAGGAGATTTCTCACAAATTAATGAAATTTTGTGGGGCTGATAACACCGAGGTCAAGGGTTCAGATTCCCATACTGGCCAGCCAAAACAAAACAAAAACAAATTGATGAAATTTTGCATAATCACACCTTCATTTTAGATAAAGAGAGAAAATAGTTTTTGTTCTCTGGAGGGATTTGGTTAATATTTGCCAAATGCCAGCTATTTCCTTTCACAGTTTAAGCTGCTTTTGATAGACCCAAAAAGTTAATCGTTGCCCCTCTGAACTGTAACTTTTTAGGGGTTAAGGGTGTGTGTGTGTAGAGCCTGTTTCTAGTCTAAAACTGTTTATCGATTTTTCTTTTTTTTTTTTTCTTTTTTTGGCAGCTGGCCAGTACAGGGATCTGAACCATTGACCCTAGTGTTACAAGGCGGCGCTCTAACCAACTGAGCAACCAGCCTGCTGGTTTTTTTCAACTTTTTATATGACCAGAATCTAATATTTTTCACTATTCCACACTCAAGAGTATTGATTAATTATGGGTATTTTCTGAGAGCCTAAGGAATCAAGGCTTACATCCGTCTTACTTTTTTTGGTTTGTTCTTTTAGGGGGATATGAGACCTTCTACTCCGAGTATCCAGAGTGTTGCGTGGATGTCAAACCCATTTCACAAGAAAAGATCGAAAGTGAGAGAGCCCTCATCAGCCAGTGTGGAAAGCCAGTGCTGAACATCAGCTACCGGCCAGCTTATGATCAGGTATGTGGTGTAGAGGAGGTACCCCGAGTGGTACCCCAGGCTCCTGTCTCCCTTCCTTCTTTGGCACCCTGACTGTTCCTCTCCCTGCTCAGCAACAGAGGTTAGTTCTTTTGTGGATCAGGGTGTTGGCAGAATCCTCTAGCTTTAGAGAGTCTCTGTGGCTTGCCAGTGTGAGTTTCCATCCAAGAGTCAATGGGCATCCTTCCAGCAAATAAGCTGGCAAGAGCACATGAACCACAGGGTGCTTGACAGCTTCTGGAGAAAAGGGGAAGTGGAAGATTCATTACCATTAAGTGGCTTGGGAGGTTCAGAGAAGCTTCCAGATACTGGTTTAGGTTTCTCTGAAGACATTTCAGAGCTGACTTTTAGGCTTTCTCTGTTCTTTGTAATTGTTCGTGCTCTGCAGTTTCTGCAAACCAACCCAGTACCTGTTATGCTGTGTCTTGGTGTTTTTCACTGTAACAGGGCAGAGGAGTAAAGAGTGAGGGATGAGCGTTATAGAGAAACTACTGTTTGAATGGTGACTGGCTAAGCAGGCTCCTGTAAGGGTTTCTGGTGCTTATAATTCCATAAATTCTGACACCAGAGGCGATCAAGAGACACTAGAGGGCTCATGTTTCTGTGAATGTGTAGGATTTTTTTTTTTTTTTTCTTTCAGAACATCATGCTTTGTGATAACTGAATGGAAAATAAACTAGAAGGCTCTGGTTAGAGGGTTACCTAGCACGATACAGGAAGATGAGGAGAAGGCAGGCGAGAATCCAAATCTGGCAAAAAACAAAGATCAAAACCAATCTTCCCATTTTACAAAGGGGAAAATGTTTGTAGCTAGTGAGATGAGTGATTTGCAGACTCCCATGGCTGGTTCATGGCAGCACCAGGCTCAGAACCCCCTTCTCTTAATTACCTGTTCTGGTTCTGTTCAGACCTTGTTCTGTTTTCCACATGCCAACTAATGTAGGCCCCAGATTTGGTGGGAGGAGCTCTTCATAATTTTCCCATAAACTAAGAGCATATCCAAATTATAGGAAGGAAGATTTCTAGATGCTGCCTAAAATGCCAGCTCCCTGCCATGAGCAGAACCCCGCTCCTGGGGATACATTTCAGAGGAAAGCCAGGTGACCTTTTCCGGAATGGGATCCTTGGTCAGGAAGCCTGTTAGCTTGGCAAGGTGCCAGGGTTATGATTTTGTTTGTTTTCCTTTATTAATAATCCTCCCAATGGATGATGAACCCTTGGCTCTCAAGCTGTGGGCATTTGGCCTGGCTGGGTTTCTATTTTTGTTTGTTGTTTGGGGTTGTGTTTTTTCTCCCGTTTCTCAGAAAGTGAAAGAGAAATAAGAATTGGCAGAGTGTTGCAAAAGCTCAGCAGACCTTTGACCAAGTGAGGGGCGTGGAGGCCCTGATGTGTCTTCAAGATTACTCTGGGAAACCCCCAAGTGCTGCTTCTTAGAAACGCTTCTGCATTGAGAAAATGCAGGCGAGGTTGTGTTAACCTTTGGGGTTTCTGAAGGCCTTCAGGCACTTGACTCTAAACAGAAGATTCAAAAAGGGAAAGAAATGTAATTTCAAGGGTGGGCAGGACTGAGCTCTAGAGGAAATTGGTTAGGATCCCGGGCCTGGTATGTCAGCATTTTCTAGGCAATCAGGAGAGAGAGAGATCTTGAGTCAACTGTCTAGCCTATTGGTGCCCGTTGTTGGGGACTCACAGCTGGTCAGTGGCTGGGTGAAACTGGACTTGGTTTTCTGACCCCTTTCCAAAGAACTTTCCACCACCTTTGCTGTCTCCTAGTTCCTAATCAGTAGGGAGCCCCGTTGTTGGGGACTCACAGCTGGTCAGTGGCTGGGTGAAACTGGACTTGGTTTTCTGACCGCTTTCCAAAGAACTTTCCACCACCTTTGCTGTCTCCTAGTTCCTAATCAGTAGGGAGCTGGGCCCAGGGAGTGGGTCCAACTCAGGCCAGCACCAGACCTGCTAGGATTCACTGGTCTCAGTATCTGCCCTGTTTCTTTCCCAGGGAGAGAATCCATGTTCTGTTTGTTTATTCTTCAGTCTAGAATGATAATGGTAGCTATATAATGTGCCAGGTTTTAATGTACCTGTTATCCCATTTACACCTTACCAATTATCCTGAGAGAATAGGTATTCTTATTCCCAGTTTACAGATAAAGGTTCAGAGGTTAAAGAAGATGCCTAAGATCATATTAGCTAGTAAGCATGGAGCTGGGACTTGACCGAGAGCTGTTCTGTCTGATGCCCAAGTCCAGGTTCTTAACTACTGCACTGCCACTGGGAAGTCTGCTCTGTATATGTGGAAGTTGAGGGAGGTGTCAGGGAGGAGATGCAAATGGACATTTTACTTCTAGAGGAAGAGAGGAAGGAAGGGAATTTTTTCCTTCTTGTCTTTACCTAAAATACTGATCATACTGATCACTATCGAAATGGAGTCAAACAAGGCCTTGCAGCTCTTGCTGAGCAGTCAGATTTGAGTTTCAGTGCCAGCTGTACCACTGACTAGCTCTGACTTGGGCAAGTTATTTAATCCTTCTAAGCCTCAAGTTGCCCATCTGTAAAATGGCAATAATGTTACCTACCCCACAGATTTGTTGTGAAATTGGTACGATGTAGATCCATCTAAAGTGTTAAGCCAAGAGGCCAGCCGTAGTAGGTGCTAATAAAAATACTGGTTGTGATTATTATTATCTTACATAAAATCCTCTATAACTGTCTTCCAAGTGGCCTAACCGGCCTTTGCTTAAACACTTGACTTCTCAGGAGAGAAAAAGCAAACACCAGGTGAGGGGTGAATTGAGAATTGTCCGCTGCTGGCCCTTGTCACATGCCCCTTTCCCTATTACGGATCTGGCAAGGAGTTTCTATTATACTCTTATTTCAGGTCAGGAAATAGAAACACGGGAAGCGGACGGATGGTATGGGAAAGGCTCCCAAAGTCACAGCCACTGTCCCCCAGCCCAGTGTTTCCCTCTAAATCTGTAGAGAGTTTCTATTATACTCTTATTTCAGGTCAGGAAATAGAAACACGGGAAGCGGACGGATGGTTTGGGAAAGGCTCCCAAAGTCACAGCCACTGTCCCCCAGCCCAGTGTTTCCCTCTAAATCTGTAGGGCCTCCCATTGTTCCAACTTTGAACCCTGTAAATGCTGCGACTGCCGGAGTCTGACTAGCTAGTGGTTCTTTTTATTTGCCTCAGGGTAGATGGTCTCTGGTTCTCCCTTAATCTGGATCCTTCTTAACTAGAAACCTGGTGTGTGGGTGGCTTCCCAAAAGGGTAGCATCTCTCACTAACACCCTGTCAGTGCTGCACCTTGTGTGAAGAAGGTCAGGGTGGGGGAAGCCCCTCTGCTCATAGCCTAACAACTTTTCTTAGTATAAAGATTCTGGGTAGGTAATGGTTATTTTCGATCCTATGAAGCATACTTTTTGGAGGGGCGGCAGGAAGCACATTTTAACATCTCTGAAATCTGGATGTATCTATGGGGCAATAGTGTCTTAGGTTTGATTAAATACACTATTGTAAAGGAGGGGACCTCACCTTGTTGAAGAAACTAAGGTTGCCCCAAGGTTAAAGGACTAGCTCTGGTACTCTCAGGGCAGCTTAAACTTTAACATGGGCCATTCCCTGCTTCCCATCACATCACTCTGCTTCTCCTTATTAGCACAGGAAGGCTGCCAGCATTTCCTACCTCGATATGCGCAAAAAAATGAAACCCTTTGCTGTGTGGGTTTTGCTGTCACTGAGTCACAAGACAGTCATGTAGGGTAGAAAGTTTGCCAGGATGGAGGCGCCACCCACACTGTTGGCTGAGCTGCCCTGGCTCTGAACTCTACCTGGCAACCGGAAAGGGAACCTCCCACTGTAAGAAACAAATAGGTCAGGTTGTTTTCTTCCCCTCTCCCAAATGAGCCACCTAATCCACTATTTCCTGGTTATGCTTTGCCTCTGCTTCAGGGCGGCCCAGTTGAAATCCTTCCCTTCCTCTACCTTGGAAGTGCCTACCACGCATCAGAGTGCGAGTTCCTTGCCAACCTGCACATCACAGCCCTGCTGAATGTCTCCCGGAGGACCTCTGAGGCCTGCACGAGCCTTCTACACTACAAGTGGATCCCCGTGGAAGACAGCCACACGGCTGACATTAGCTCCCACTTTCAAGAAGCAATAGACTTCATTGGTAGGTTCAGTGGTCCCCTGCTCAGTTTTTTGGAAGCCCCGTTGGGGCATGTGGTCTAGGCTTTTGATGTCCTGATGGGGGGGATACCTTCACTGAAAGAAAAGTGTCTTGTATAGGCAACCACTGAGACCTGGAGCCAAGAAGGGATGCAGCCACCAAAAAGGCAGAGGGGAGGATTTGAGTTGCTATTAATAGGAGCTTGAATTTGCAAGATAAATGAATTAATATAATTTTATGGCAGTACTCACTGCTGCTCTTGTTACTGTTTCTAGCTGGGTGGGAGCAGGGTGCATCTATGCGTAATGCTATACACGAGGAAGGAAGCGGGGGGAGCCTCCCTAACTATGCTGCTACGCAGGTCGGGATATTTTTAAAAGCAAACAGAGGATAGAGCAGTATTTACGCACGGAGCCCCAAGGGCCCAGCAGCTTTCCACAGTTTTGGCAAATGGCTGTGGGGGCAATTCGTTTTGCATTCTCAGCTAATTTTGGATTAAAGATGGCACTTATGCTCCATGCTTTATGCACAAAAAAGTTGGCATCTTTTGCATCCTTTCTGTGGTCCTGTGAGGCAGTTATTATTTACTACGTTGTACAGGCCCGAAGACGGAGGCATTGGCCTCTGGCCCCTCTGCCTGGTGTGTTGCCCAGATTGTTCTCCCATTTGACATCTCTTTCCTCCGTCCCTCTCCCTCCAGTGCTGGTCTGACACTCTCAAGCACCACTCCCCCACCTTGTGGTTGTCCCTCCCTTTTCTTTAACATGCATAGTTGTTGAAACTGAGGCATGATTTTCCTGTATCCTGTTCTAAGGGATGTTGCAGGGGGAAAAGGCGGATGTTAGACACAGCAATAATTACTAAGTGCAGGTAGCAATTAAAGGGCCCCCCTTCAGCCATGTGGTGGGCCCTCTGCTCACCAGACACAATTTCTGCTCCATAGAAAACCCTAACGAGAAACTCAGCAGAGGCAAAAGGCCGAGCCTGTCCTGCTTGTCCCCTGAGCCTCTGGGCTGAGATGATTCCTTTGGAGTTTGAGAGGCAGCCAAAATGATGGGTTTAGTGTGGGAACCCCTTGACTTGTTTTCCCCGTCCCAGTGCCTTGCCCTTCTCAGCCTGTTGCTCAGTTACCTAGATAGCTACTTAATGAGGTCACGGAGCCACCCCCATCCAGTTCTCAGCACCCTCCCTTCCTGTGTGTGTATTGTGCCTGTGTTTGTGTAATCGCACAAACCCACAGCATTTCAAAAGTACAGGATGCTTTTCCCAGACTCCTTGCCTTGCTAATGGAAGAAGACACTGGGCCTCTGCGGTGGGCTGTGTGCTGAAAAATGCACTGACCCCTTCTGAGGGAAGAGGGTCACATGGAAGGCAAGCCCTGAAGTACAGAGGGGGTTCCAGAAGCAACGCACCCTAGGCCCTTTGCATTTGTGGATGTGGCACTGGCCAGTTAAAAGCTAGAGTATAAAGGAGGCCAATGGAGGAGCAAAGGAAAATAGGAGTCACGACACTGTAATCCTTGGGACTTAGGATCTCCCTTTTGAACTAATTTACAGGGAATCTTTTGGTTTTTGTTTGTCTGTTTCGAGTCAGACTGAATTGGGGGCATCTCTAATGAGCTTCCCTTGGAGGCCTTTGGGGTTTCCGTTCAGATGGGGAAACCCTAGGGTTCCTCCTTAATGCCTCAGAGATTTTATCTTTTAGATCTTGCAGATTCACTTCTTGAACTTGGCCCAGGGTGGAGCATGGTAAGGGGGCTGACTTTTTTTTTTTCTGGCCCTTCAAAATCTTAAATGTGTTTGCACATTGTAGCCTTACATGGTGCCAACTATATCTAACTTCCTGTGATGTAATTGTTTCCTCACTAGCAAGAGAGGGAATCGGAAAGACTGTATTTTTTGTGGTTTTGATTTGATGTATATATATATGTTTAACCTTTTACCCCTTCCCATTTTTAACAGTGGTAGCCCTGTTTTATAGGGAGGGGTAGAGCAGGAAAGGAGAGCACCCTCCCCCCCTTTTGTCTTATTGAGCTAAAGAGTGCTAACTGATGGTGGTGGCTTTAGAGCAGTGACTCCCATTGTTGGGCAAGATGGAATTTGCAAAAGCCATTTATATCCTCCGTCTAGTAAGCGTCACTTAGCTGGTGCTATAATTAGTGGCTGTGTGCTATTGTATGTTTGGTGGTAAGAATCCTGGGAGCTGAGCCAAGCATCCCACCCTGGCATGGCAAGACAGGGTGTCTGGGGATCCTGGAAGGCTTCTACTACGATGGAAGCTAGGTCATCGCCATTAGAATCAGACGTGGAGAGGGAAGAATTGCTTCTTTAAGTCAGTCTTTGAGCCTGGGATGCTCTCCTCTTGAAAATGTGCATATCCATTAAAAATTGTCTGGGGATCCTGGAAGGCTTCTACTACGATGGAAGCTAGGTCATCGCCATTAGAATCAGATGTGGAGAGGGAAGAATTGCTTCTTTAAGTCAGTCTTTGAGCCTGGGATGCTCTCCTCTTGAAAATGTGCATATCCATTAAAAATGTGCATACTATTTCAAGGATTTTTCAATGGCCTCTTGAAATCCATTGGTGGAACCCAAGTTAAGATGGCCTCCCCAGGGACGGAATCTTCCAGGTCTAGTGCCTCCATTGGCAGAATATGTGCAAGTACCCTGGAGAACCAGGAAGCAGCTGTGAGGATTATAAAGGTCCTACAAAGGATAGACATTGGTGGGACCCCAAAAGCTCTGTCCTCACCAATGGGGATTAAAGACTGGCAGAGTCTTGAGCAGTCATGATTTGATAAGTAGGTCACTTCAGTGTTGAATTCTTGTGCTCCGGCATTACCTTTCGATTCTAGTCCTGACTCATTCCCACTTTTTTCTTCCTTTCAGACTGTGTCAGGGAAAAGGGAGGCAAAGTCCTGGTGCACTGTGAGGCTGGGATCTCGCGCTCGCCCACTATCTGCATGGCTTACCTCATGAAGACCAAGCAGTTCCGCCTGAAAGAGGCCTTCGATTACATTAAGCAGAGGAGGAGCATGGTCTCACCCAACTTTGGCTTCATGGGCCAGCTCCTGCAGTATGAATCTGAGATCCTGCCTTCCACACCCAACCCCCCCATCCTCCCTCCTGCCAAGGGGAGGCAGCAGGCTCTTCATTTATAGACCATTTGCAGACACTGAGCCCTGGCGTTCAGGGTGTCTACTGCACATTCCCTACCTCGGTGCTGGCGCCAGTGCCCCCCTCCCCCCCACCTGATGGTCTCAGAGCTCTGCAGGAGCCCTGTGGCCACAGCCACATCTTACTAAAACTGGGATGGGGGAACCAGCCAGCCCTAAGAGCAACTGTGATTTTGTTTTTTAAACTTGTGGACATTTCATACCTGTGCAATACTGAAGACCTCACTCTGTCACACTGCCCCTGTGAGATAGTGAGTGGGCACCAGGCTTGCAAATGAACTTCAGACTGACCTTGGGGATAGGTTCTTGGCATGGAAGGAAGGCCAAGCCATTACGAGAGCACAGCGTGTGCTGACTACTATACTTCCAGATCCCCTGCCCTCTCAGGACTGCCCAGTCCTTACACCTCAAATTTAGCCTTTTCATTTCAAACGTAAGGCAATAAATACCTGCAGCAACATGGGAGAAAGAAGTTGCTGAATCAGGAGAAAAGGCAGTTATGAAGTCAATTCATTTTGAAGGAAGCACAATTTCCACCTTATTTTCTGAACTTTGGCAGTTTCAGTGTCTGTCTCTGTTGCTTCAGGGCATAAGCTGATCACTGTCTAGTCAGGAAAGTAACCCTACTAGGTTTGTAGGGACATGATGTATATGCCAGTGTGAAGCCTGAAATGTTTTTGAGATTCCCTCTTGGGTCCAATGGAGGCAGTTGGTTGAAGAAGTAGCAAGACATTGACTCCTGGGTTTCTTTTTCACTGTGGGTTCTTCCCTGACCTTGGACTTTGGCATGATTCTTACACATACTTGAACCAGTCTCGTTGCACCTTTCCTCAACACAACTCTTGTGTCATTTGAAAAGAGTTTTTCAGACCATAGACCAAAAATCACCCCTTTGAGGTGGTGGCCATGGGTGCCAGGAGAAAGAGGGTACCTGCTGTGTGTTCTGGGTCAGTGGCATTGAAAAGTCATTTCCTCAGCTTGCAGTCCTTCCATGTGCTCCTGTCCGGTCTCTTGTGACACTTGTTTTCCTCCCTGCCCCTGGGGGTTGTCTTCAAGCTATTGACTTCTGGGATTTGCAGATTTTGCAATGTGGTACTACTTTTTTGTCTGTAGGTTATTCCTCCAGGGGAAAAGGCAATAATTTCCTAAAACCCATGTGAATGTGAAGAAAAGCAGTATGTTACTGGTTGTTGTCGTCATTGTTGTTTTTTATAGTACAAAATAAAAACAGTAAAAGGAAAAAAGCACTTTGTCATGTTGTTGGGTGAATTGGGGGGAACGTGGCCTCCTTCACTGGTTTATTTCCAGATGAACAACAGGGCAATGGTGGCAGATGTGCAGCTTTAAGCGTGAGGCTGTGCATCTGCTCACGAATTTGATCTTGACGATGCAGAATGTTGCTTTCCAGCTAAGGGGCTTCCCTAAGCTAACTTGCAAGGGAAGTTTAGGCACAGACCTCATGGGGAGGTGACCAGAGTATCTGCCCTCTCTGTGCTCCTCACTCCCATCACCCCAGGCAAAAAGTTCGACGTGAACCTCAAATTTCTTACCTATGAAATGAGAGAATTGAGTTTGATGATCCTGAAAGTCCCTTAAGGCACAAGGCCCTTGATTCTAGCAGACCTGAGTGCCATGCTGTGGCCAGCCTCCCCCTCCAGTGGCTGGCACATGGCAGACTCCATGGATAAGCAGCCAAGGGATGGAGAAGTGAACAAGGTGAAGATTTATCTTAAGTGCCTGCCTACCTTATTTTACCCTTGGATCTAATTCTTCCAGATAATTCCCTCAGGAGTTCCTAGGTAAATCCCTCAGTGAGTGGATTTAAATCCAAAGCTGGATCGACTTGCCTTCTGAGTAACTTCTGCGTTGGTGGAGGAATGAAGGAGCAGTATCGACTTCCCACAGCTGGCTCTGCCTCTGCTCCAGCCTGACTCGTGGGGTCTGTTTTCTAACCTGGGGGAACAGGGAACTGGTTGGGGTTTATGTCACCCCAGCCAGCTGATAACTAACACGAGGATTCCAACTACACCCCTCAATTCTGGAGGGCTCAAAGTGGCCTCCAGCTCCTCCAGCACACTCTCAGCAGATAGCAAGGTGGCAGAGCCCAGGGTAGCCCAGCTCTCTACACATCTTGCCTCAAAGGCTTTGCTTCCCCAATTCACCCTCCACAGGTTCCTTGGAAAGTCCGCAGATGGGAAGGCCACCCAAACCAGGGAGTCCCAATTTTCTTCAGCCTGCTCTCCTCAACTGCATAATCCAAGCAGGGCTTCCATGGTGAAGTGCACTGGGCAGCAGCGAGAAGTCCTGGGTCTAGCCCTCACCCTGCCCCTGCCTCCAGTGCTTTGGAGGTAATCTCCAGCCTCTGCACCAGACCTCGGGCCTTGGCCTAGCTGGTCCCTGGTCCCTCTTGATTTCAAATCTCAGCCTCTGATGAGCCTTGGTGTATGTTACAGAAGCCTGCCCATTGTATGGGCCTGTCCAGGTGGTCAATGGCTGGAAGGGTCTCAAGCAGGGAGAGCCAGGGAGTAGGAAGCTGGGTGCCGGCTGGGGTGATGCGCTAAGCTGCATCCCACGTGCTGACATTTGTTTTACTGCATTACCGTCTTTTCTCTGAAGGGTGAGTAAGTCCCCTCGATCAGGCACATGAGGGTTGCTCATGAGCGGGTGAGTCACTGGAGGGTGAGCCAAGTGAAGCCCACAGCTGGGATGGCTCTAGAACTTTCACTCCACTTGATAGTCTCTTCATTAATTACACCTCTATTTCTGCCAAGACCAACTTGGCTCCCAGTGCCAGGTGGAGAATTCAAGCTGGTGACATTCAGTTCCTACATCCTCTGGGTTTTGAGAAACACCTCCTTATTCTCAAGCATCATCTCAGGTAAAGATGTGTCTGGGAGAATAGAGATGTTAATTCTCTCCTATTTCCCAGCTGCATCTGTGGGTGAGCCCCTCAGGTCCACCCTGGTTTCTGAGCTGGGCCTGAGGGGGGCAGGAGACATATGAGCAGCTCCCTCAAGCATCATCTCAGGTAAAGATGTGTCTGGGAGAATAGAGATGTTAATTCTCTCCTATTCTATTTCCCAGCTGCATCTGTGGGTGAGCCCCTCAGGTCCACCCTGGTTTCTGAGCTGGGCCTGAGGGGGGCAGGAGACATATGAGCAGCTCCATCCAGTAACAGTATGCTGGCAGGAGCCCAGTGTCCCCCTGGGTCTCTCTTGTGTAAAGACTCCAGGAAAAAGCCTCCCCAATTTCAATACCCTGAACAGCTGTACCTCTCTGAGTTGCTGGTGGTTTATCCTCTGAACACCATAAAGTTTATGATTGCCCCTGTTTCCTTGCTCAGGCTACTAGGCAGCTCAGAACTAAAATTTAGTTCCCACCTCTGGCAGTTTCGTGGGAATTTATGGCATGTATTTTTGGTATTGACTACCCTGTTTCCGTTAAAATTTCCCAACTTTGTTTTTCTTTTACTTCCATTTCCTCAGAACTTAAAAAACACTTTAAGGGCCGGCCCGGTGGCACACTGGAGAGTGCGCCGCTTGGGAGTGCGGCGGCGCTCCCGCCGAGGGTTCGGATCTCATGTGGAGACCGGTTCTCGCTCACTGGCTGGGCGCAGGGTGGGCGCAACACCGAGGGTTGCGATCCCGTTGCCGGTCCCCGGTGCGGGCGCGACACCAAGGCTTGCAATCCCGTTACGGGTCAGTAAAAAAAATACAAAAAAGGAAAAAAAAAAACGCAACACCGAGGGTTGCGATCCCGTTGCCGGTCCCCGGTGCGGGCGCGACACCAAGGCTTGCGATCCCGTTACCGGTCAGTAAAAAAAATACAAAAAAGGAAAAAAAAAAAAACGAAAAAAAAACACTTTAAGCCCTATTTAAATATATGACGATGCATTTATGGAATGGAGCGAGGCATAAATACACATAGAGAGAAGCCTGTGCACCCTTGGTGTTGCTCTTCTCTATCTCTGAAGGATTTATCCATGGGACTGGGTTCCTTTGCCTTTTCAGTGACTCTACCAAGTTCTATACAGATTCTGTCCAGATCCTAACCCCAAGGCTGCGGCGCTGGTTCCTTGCCTCAGAATCTCCGGCATTGCCCCGTGCTTTCCATCCTATATTCTGCTGGTGCCTCCCTATGGAGGCATGGATGGATGGGTTGCTCAAAGCTACAATGGAGACCCTCCTGATCCCCACACTGGAGGTGATGGATGTGATTCCTGTGCTTGGATAACCATCATCCTCCCATCCATTTACCTGAGCACCTGCTGGAACCTGTGGTTCAGGAGGGAACAAGAGTCACGTGGCTGCACCCTCACAGAATTCATGAGTACTGATAGTCATGGACTGTTCCTTGGACTTTCTGTCCCAAACTAAAGCTGACTTCTGCAGTTGAACCAGTGTCCCCAGCCCCACACAATCCCCTTTCCCAGCTTCCCTTTTCTCCTAGTCTCCAGCTCCGTCCTCTGTCTTCTGTGGTTCAGCACCCTTCACACCCAAGCTCCCCAGATATGCCATCCTGTAGATAGGGCTGTGTCCCCTGTGCTAACAATCTGAATCCTGCCTTGGCTTATCTACCTAGGCTCTCTTGTGTCATTCGTTAGCTTTTTAATCAACACTATATTAGTATTGCCCCCACCTCCATCCCCATCAGAGCGCAAAAAGAAATGAGCTCTTTATTGAACCTTAGTCCTCTCTCAGCTATTTGGCTAATATAAAAAACATGTATTAAGCATCCACTATGTGCCACAGACCAACCTAGGCATGTACACAGGCATCATCTCATTGAATTTTCATCACAGCACTATACAAATGTTTGTATTATCACCACTTTACAGATGCATAAACTGAACCTCAGAGATATTAAGTAACTTGCCCAAGGCCACATAGCTAGTAAATGGTAGAACCAGAATTAAGCTACTTCATTGATCTTGTATACCTCTGAACACCTGGGGTATATAATAGGTGCTTCTGTCCACTGGGCTTTTTGTTTGCAAAGAAGAGAGTCCTCAGGCCGCATTAAGGAAAAGCATTAGTTGATAGATGCAAATGACATTTAATGCCCAGTTCCACTCCATTCCAGCCACACTGGCTTTCTGACAGTGGCTTAAACATGCCATGCTCCCTCCTGCTTCAGGACCTTTGCACATGCTGGTCCTCTGACTGGAAATCTTTCTCCTATAAGTTCACCCTTCAACTTATTGACTCCTGCTTTTTGTTAATTTTTTTTTGTTTGCTTTTGGTAGTTGGCTGGTACAGGAGTTGAACACTGGATCTTGGTGTTATCAGTACGAAGCTCTAAACCATCAAGCTAACCGGCCAGCCTTTCATTAACTTCTACTGGTCCTTCACCTCTCAGCTCAAACTTCGCCTTCCCTGGGAAGACCTCTCAGACTCCCAGACTAGGTCAGATGTCCTTGTTGGATCTCTCATAGCTCCCTATATCTTTTCTTTATATGTCACTAAAGTTTGAAAGTCATTCACTTATCTGTGATTGTTTTATTAATGTCTATCTTCTCCAGACTGGAATCACCAAGAAAACAGGAATTACATTGCATTTCAAGAGTAGCCTAGCTCAGGGTCTGACTTCTACTAGGTGTTCAGTAGGTATTGGTTGAATGAAGGAGTGAATAAATGATAAACTGGGAATGAAAAGGTCTCAGAATCAGAAGCTGCTCTCTTCATCTCTCTCAGAGCCTCTGCACATGAACTCATTTACCCCAGGGTAAACTAGCCAATCCCTCCACGATCCTAGAGGAAACAGTTTTCCTAGATATAGTTAATTACTGCTACCTTATTGGTCAGAGCCCATGGCACCACATCACCTCTTTGGTCACTGGTCGGCTTATGGGTCGGCTTCCCTTGGGTCAGGCTTTCATTTGGGGGCCAATCAGTGTCCTCTAAGTTCAGAGACATGCCTGGCTCAGACTCCCTGAGCAAGGGCCTAGGAAACTGCCATATAAAACCCAGTGTTACTCCTCCAGTGAGAACTCCAAGTTGATCAATTATGGTAACTGGATTTTAAATCCTGGCTTATTTGTAATAACAGGTCAGATTCCTTCCCCACCACCTCATCCCCCACCCCCCAACACACACCCATTCACTTAGGAAGTTTACAGAAATCAAGAAGACACAAAATGGGGACTTAAAGTAGACCCTTGGGGCAGGCCCGTTGCTCAGCTGGTTAGAGCGTGGTGCTGATAACTCCAAGATCCAGGGTTTGATTCCTGTATTGACCAGCTGCCAAA